GAATTTCATTAGTGTTGAATAAAATATGAATTTTATGGTCCTGTTTTTTGAGAGAACATCCTGAAAAAACTTAAAAGGTAATTTCGTATTTAGGTCTAAATGATTTAAATATTTTCTTGGCTGATTAGAGGAATTATTAATTATCATAAATACCTGATTTAATATATTTAAATAAAAATTGCTGTGTAAGCAAAAACCACTCAAGGTATTATTTAACTGATGCTCCACCCTGTTTTTACTTGTACTGGAAGTACTTTTACTTCATGATACAAACTGAAACGTCTCTAAAAAAATATTTTCTAGGTTCACAGAGAGAACCTGTTTAATTTAATTTTTACTGCTACTAATATTCTAGTAGTTTTCAGCTAAATTTCCCAGATTTAGTCAGAAGTGCTAATGGAAAACTCAAGGAAACTGAAAAAACAACTGCAGAACTGTAATATATAACGATAGTGCAAAGACATTACACTCTGGCCTCAAACCGTCTTGCTCTGTCCATTCTCACACAATCCACCAGGCGATAACAGATAAAAACAGACCGGCCTGGTTTCTTTTATCGGCCCATTCAAACGCTGTGTCATCACCACCCTGAAATGGTCTTGCTTCTCTTCGGTCTTCTGATGGGAAGATCTGTGATTACAGCAGATTTCCCACTGGAATGAGAAACTGTAAATGTAACATTGTTACAGCCGTACATTTTATAACTTAAGAGACACTCTGAAAGAAACAGTTTGTCCCCCACCCCCTTTCTACCCCCGTCTGTTTAATTTCAAGTCTGATAATGGGTTTAATGCATCCATATGGTCCACGTCAGGTGACCTAGCTGGTGTACATCCTGTGACCTCAGCTTCAGACAGTTCATCCAGGATTACAGGCTTTTTCATTTGTGCGCTGAGACGGCCTTTGAGGGATGAAAGAGACTGATAAGGTTTTGGAAGCTCACTAATGTGCCTTGAAGCTAAAGTTTAGAGTAGTTGTTGTGGCATCAGATAAGAGTTTCAGCCAAAAGCACAAAAAAACCCGTCAATGTTTACGTTTTCTTTAAAACTGGGTCATCGCCATGATAGCAGGAAAGGTCGGCTTCTTGTTGCAAACAGTTACATTTACACTGCTGCATATTTTAGCCCAAAGGCGTTTTATATATTTATTTTTTCTGGACTTTGAAGCTAGTTAAGCTAATCGTAGTTTAGACGGGTGTGGAGTGGATTTTTGGCAGTAAGAGGCTTAAATGTTGATTGCTTAAATGACAGTAATGGTTGTGGGGATTGTTGGCAAATCTGGGCCCCCCTCAAATCTTTAGGGACAGATGCAGAAAGTTCCACCGACACACGATCATCGTTGTACAAGAAAACACTGCAGATGCCATAATCAGCATAGTCTGTGGTTAAAAATGAAGTATCATTTAATTCCACCAAAAACATGATGAGATTTTCTTTTCTTGCCCTACAGAACATGGACGCATTCAGTGTTTAGTTCCTTGTAGTAATGTTAACATGCAGATTTCCTTTAAAATGTCCTGAGCAACCTCAGCATTCATTTAAAATGCAATTTGAACTCCTACAGGACAAATGCGAGCATTTCATGTTTGCAAATTGGTTGTTAACTTAAGTTTTAGTATCACCAGTGGGATGTTTGATGAATACAGCTACCTGCTGCTGTGGAAATGCAATCAGTGGTAACCAAGTTCAGTACTTCAGATATTAAAACAAACGAATTGTTTTAGCCAAAATGTGCTAACAGCTGAGGTGAACTGCAGTGCTGAGTGATGACAATGTGGTTTTACTACTACAAGTGATTTTAACATTATCCACAGTCATTTGATTGATTGTAATAATTG